TAGAAAAAGGTGCAAAGAAGCTAGCTAAATGAAAGCCCATTCGAGGTAACATTACGGAAATATTATCTGTATAGATCAAACTATTGTCCAAAATAAGACAATCTTTACTTTTGCAGTTGCATTGGAGAAAAGGAAAACTGGTTAAAGAGAGCAAAAACGTGATAATAGTGAGCACACATGAGAAAAAAGACAAAGAGAAAGATAAGAAAAAGAACAAATCTGTTACAAATTACCTGTGTCAATATTTTAATACATTCTGCGATGTTTTAATCAAAGCATTTTTAAACTCAGTAAATGAAGCAGCAATCTGCAAAGACAAATTATTTGAACTATAAATTTCAAAATGCAGAAGCAAATATGTGTACCTTTCTGCACCAATCACTATATGTATATTAGAGGGAAACGATATTTTCAAACTTCTACACTCTTCTTGACATCAAATAGAAAGCATTAGTAATTTATCACATCAATGAAACAAAACACTAGCAACAAAAGTATAAATATCAAATCCAGCAGACAAAGACGCCGAACAAACATCGCTTGAAAGACTTTCAAAATGATTTTGTGGAGAGATTAGGTCTCCTAAAAGCGGAAAACGCACGAAAATGTTGTAGTCTGGTCATTGTTTTCTTACAACGTTAGTATAAATGAGCAATGAGATGGATTCTTTTGGGATCTCAAACGCTAATTTTGTAGGGTAATCGTCAATCGGAACGATATTATTTGTTCCAAGTCAGACATAAAACTTATATGACATTTAATTGTAAGGCAGAATCACGGCCGCTACAAAAGATAACAAGTGTATGGTTAGTGTAAAATATTGATTAGATCACATCCTCTCTGATGGCAACTCTGTTCCTTGCAGTGAAGTGCACTAAGAAATATTTCGATATATATATATATATATATATATATATATATATATATATATATATATATATATATATATATATATATATATATATATATATATATATGATCCATTGCTAGATACTACTTTTCAAATGCAATAAAAGTCACGTATGAAACAGATCTTCGCTATAGGTTAATATTTCCGTGAAATAACTGATTCCAAAATAAAATGACTATTGATAATTTAGGAAAATTTCATCTGGGATCAAGCAGTACAAATGGCTTTATTTCTAAAGTATAATGTTTCAATCTACATTAAAAATTTGCGATTTTTTACTATAGATATGCTTAAGTATTGCTGATTTTTTAAAATTCTTTTCCAAATTATTTACATCGATTCAATGACAAACTGTTCATGGTGTATGCATGGACAAATCTGTTGTATCGCAAAATAGTAAATAAACAGAATAAAAGGTTCGATGTATGAAAGACAAAAGTTGAGTGAGGCAAATAAAGTATGGGAAAAACACGAAATTAATCCGAATGTTCAAGAAGTAAATAAGAAGTTATGAACAGAAGATTTTATGGTATAAAGGTCAGTATTTCTATTCACTCATGAGAGAATAGCCAACGATTTACTCATGAGAGAATAGCATACGATTCTATCATGAGAGAATAGCCTATGATTCATTCATGAGAATTATGAATCTAGAAAAGTAGTATAATAATGGAAATTTGAGAGCGTCTTCTGTATTTTTCCTTACTAAGGATTTTTGCACATATGTGTGCCTTTAATAATAGCAGACTTGAGTCAACGTGGAAGCATATCGATATGTTGATAAATGCAATGCTGTAAGCTCGCCAACATATCGATATGCAAGAGGCGATCCATATCTGATTCACCATAAAAGAGTAGCAGCGGGCTGTTATATAATGCCATTAGAAACCACAGTTTGAGGCATATATAATTATGAATGAGTTCACTTCTGCGGTTAAAGCAGGAATTAAATTACCAGAATAATGGTGTGTTGGTACCATCACAGAAAAGATCAAAACGATGTTAGGCTTGAATGCTTCCCATCATTTTGTTGAAAAGACCAAAAAATAAGGCACATATTTTTTTAAAGAACGCATAACCAACATCATAATAAATTAACTGGTTTAATTATTGAGTTGGAGCAAACACGCCGAAAACTTGTTGAAGAATATAATAAAATGCGATAAAGGTCATTCTGTTTTTACTGTACAAAAAATACTTTAAATCACTCATGATTACACAGCCATGTAGTGAAAACATTAAAATGACTAGTTTACATGGTGATGACATAAATCACTAGTATAGACTGCAAAAGTATTAAAACGACCAGCGAAGATATCAAATATAACGACGTTCACTACAATCAAGGAAATGACGTCAACATGCATTTTCAAATAGCAGCAAAACTTATCTACCTGCAGAAAAAATACGAAGAAATCTACCAAGTGGCAGAAGCAAGCAGCTGTGCAAAAAGCTTACTAGTCATATGTTAACGCATGAAAGAATGCAAAACCATGACATATACATATGAAACAAAAACAGTGACATTATTAGATACAAGCATGATAATGTTGAAAAATTTTATCATGGAAGACTCGAGGAAATTTTTATGAATCCGATCTTGGGAGAGAATTTTACCATGCTGAAACCTCACGAATTTAGTCAAGATTAGGAAGATGAACTTGTTTATTAAGCTTAGTCTAATGAGAAGTTAAAATCACCATCTTGGATGGAGAAAGATATAGTACGTATCGTGACCATAACCTAGAGTACCATTCTCTGGATTATGAGGTTTTTTTTACCCATATGCTACAGTATACAAAGCAAGAAATAAGGAATATCATATGCAAACAAAAGAATGAAACAAACAAATGTTTTTAGATAGAGATTACCGTCTTCGCATATAAATGAAGGTTCAATGGCATAGATGCAATCAATGTAATTGTAAATGCCTTGAAAACGAGAACTGTGTAAAAGAACATGTCAATACGAATATTTTAATATCACTTGCTCGCGTTTTGTGTTGCCCAGTGTGCTCGATCATGTATTGAGCGTCGCGTAATCAGCGTTACCCACAATGGGGATACTAAACTGCAGCGATGACTTGTCAAAGCGAATATCAAGAAAAAGCCGACGAAGTTGTCGCAAAAATATATTGATAAATAAGCAAGTAGATGCTTTCTTTCCTTACAATAAGTTACGTAAAATATGAATGAACTTAGGTAATCTGAGCGAGAACGTGGAATAAGGATTCCGAGTAGAAACGTAAATTCATTTACATTCTTAGAGCTCACAGATGAGCCACAACCGGCAAAGAGACAAGTTTCCGAAGATGAACCATGAATGGTTGCAACAGCAACTATATATCAAATCAAACAATCCGTGTGTAACAAGATAACCGAGTTTGGGATTTTTGGATTAATAACAAAACACCATTGATGGAAATGCAATACAATGTTTAATGTTATATGGTGGTATGAAACGAAATATTATAGACACGTGCTTGCACTGGGTCCCAATATGAGACTAATTAACATAATAAGCACGATCTTAAAATGCAACAAATATGTTACCGAGACAAATGAAAAACGATCCACAGTATATCACAAACAGAAATATGATCGTAAAATACGAATAATGTTATGTTCAAAATGACGAATTGATATAATGGCTAAAGTATGATTGTTCGTTCAAAAATAACGAATTGCAAGTTTTACTCATACTAGTAAAACGAATAAATGGTTCGTTCATAATAACGACTTGATAGTTCTACAAACATATGAGATTTCGCTCAAACTAGCGAAGTGATAGTTTTTACTCACGATAGCAAAAACACTGGATATTACAAAAAACCCTGCATTAGCCCACGGCTAAAATATTATGTATCTGGAGCAATGTAGACACTCCCTGATTCCAAGCAAAGATTTGTAGTCACCGACCACCATTGATTCCTGGGTTAGACTATCAGCGTCCACCACGTTGGTCCGCCACGCTTGATCAACCTCAACCCGACTAGCAACGTTGAAATATTCGAAGCCCTCGAATACACAAACACAGCACCCCTCAGCACTGCACACGTAGCTCTACACTGCTGTACAGGTCACAGCAGCACAAAACAGCATACGCCCTCATAGTACAGACAGCTGCACACGGCACAAACTGCTGCACCCGGCACAAACGGCTGCACACTGCACCAACACAAACACAGACAGACAGCTCTATAGCTGGAGGTTTGGGTCTCAGTAGACAGACGTCCGATTGACAGAACGGTCAGTAATGTAACATTTTTGTTACAGTTTGAATCATATATACACAGGCAATGTAGCTCAACATCGTCCGTGTAATCCATGTATTGGGTTTTTCAAGCCCGAAGCACTTCGCACGTGCCGAGCAAGGAAGAACCGAATTCACTATTTTTCGAAATATATAATATACATTGATCACCCTTGGGTATCATTGTACACTAAAAGCGAAACCCGAGTACGTTTACTTAATAAAAAAAACCATTTATACAATTCTGTGACACCGTGGGTGAGCAAGGAACAAAGATGCCAATAAAAACCGATATACCTGCAACTTAACGAAAATGCAGCACGGTTACAAGTTATGATTCCTCCATATCCCAAGTGGAAGTAAATCGCACGCGTTGTTGCTAATGAGGAAAAACACAGTTACGGTTGACATATTTTGCCGATGAGGCTGCTGAACAAACACAACGAATTCAAGTTCCAAAGTCTACATTGCACAGGTGTTCTGTTTTTACAAGAGTATTGGGATATTACTCCAATCGAGTACGAGCGAAGCAAAGAGTTTGTGATTCTTCTCTTGAAAGTTCATTTGTTCATCATGTAGAGGCTACAGCACGAAAACAAGTCCAATTTGAAGAGGATATTACTTAACCTAAATACAACAGAAAACAAACGTATTAAAATTAGCAAGTCTATGATTTTGCAGTGGTACCCAAACAATCTTGGATCGTAAAGAGACCTAAAAATATTAAAAATGAAATCGACAAAGCTTTTGTATCCATCTTCAGAGTAATACAAACAAACTTTTGCCGACCAGTCCTAACACTAAGCGAGGAAACTGTTAGCACCATTTTTGTAAGATCTGACTCGACTGGGGATCGAACCCACGACCTCCCACATCTGAAGAGGACGCTCTAACCACTAGGCCACCGGAGTCATGATTGAAATGAAAGATTGGCTAAATCTCTATTATTATCATTGCTATAAGAATAGATCAGCCTGGTCCAACCTTTACAAAATATGACATAATTGATTAGTTGAATCTAGTATTATTTCCCATGCTAAAGTAAACTTCAGACGGTCCCATCTTATAAATAAGTGCGAGGTAAGTGATCGGTCTTACCTCGTATTATTGTCGATGCTAAAATGCTAAATGAAGTCAACTTGGCAAAACTACTAAATGAGTATGACAAAAGTGATTCAATGAACTGCTTAAGAAATGTTCAGCCAGCCCAAACTTTAAACAAATATGAAATATTTGATTGATATCATCCATGTAAAAAAATACGTCAGCCGGGCACAGTCTCATAATAAATATCAAATAATTGATTCGTTGAAAATCGTAGTATTTTCCATGCTAAGAATCCATCAACTTGGCACAGTCATTAAATAATTGCTTGCTTCAATCTGGCATTATTATCTGAGCATAAAAAGAACAAAACAAAAATATAACGCCGGTTCCAATATCTAAATAGGAGTAACATAAACGATTGGTCGAAAGTAGTATTATTTTCCACGGTAAAAAGAACCTCAACCTTATATAAGCATCTGATATTATTGTTCATAAGCTTATATTGATGAACATCAATGCAATTTCAGCTCTCGAAGGAATTCAAACTGATTAAATTTCCGTTCTTAAGAATCAAACCGTTTTGAATGATTAAAAAGCAAATAAAGTTGCTAATCATAACGTAGAGATCAACTTCTTAACGGTAAACGTTTTGTCGTGAATTTGTTAACGAATTCCTAACTGCATGTCAAATTGCGTTCAGATTTTGGTCAAGTTGTGTGAGGATGAAATTAAAGTCCATCTTCAACTCAGACATTTAATTATTTGTTGCAAAATTCAGTTAACAAATTTGATGAAACGTTGATTAGATATTATGTCCATACTATTGGAATTGACTCTCTTGTAGTATTACCATTGATTAAATTTGCTTTCTTTTCAGATATAATACCTAATGGCATTTGAAGAAAAGAAAGCATGAGTGAGTAATGTTCAAAATTGCACTGTTAGTCATGTTCAATAAATGCTATGAAGAATTTAGACAATTATCTTATCAATACCATCTTACTTTACTGATATATAAGTAATAGCTTAGTTCGTCATTCATAATGATACATACATACATACATACATACATACATACATACATACATACATACATACATACATACATACATACATACATACATACATACATACATACATACATACATACATACATACATACATACATACATACATACATACATACATACATACATACATACATACATACATACAGGCTTGCATCCATACATACATACATACATACATACATACATACATACATACATACATACATACATACATACATACATACATACATACATACATACATACATACATACATACATACATACATACATACATACATACATACATGCTTGCATCCATACATACATACATACATACATACATACATACATACATACATACATACATACATACATACATACATACATACATACATACATACATACATACATACATACATACATACATACATACATACATACATACATACATACATACATACATACAGTGTAAATAGGTATAAAATGAAGATTTTCGGCTAAGACTATGGCTGATTGTTATGAACAATTAAATTCTTTGAAATTCTTGCATTCTACTTTAAGGCACGTTTTGAATATAACGTCGATTATGAAAACATGAAATTGAATAGAAGTATTGCTTTCAATATCAAACAAAACAGTCGTTTTAATTCAATGACTTATCTAGTTTTTTAAGTTGCCTGGTTGGCCTTTAAGTCAAATGATCGCGTGTAATCGAGATGAAGTTGGTGTCCTGTTATTGGGATTGCCAAGTTTAGTACAGAGAAAATACAAACTATGTATTCTTAATTTGATTGTACTTTTCAAATTCCGGTTAATGACTGTCATAGATTAAAACTATGTGTATGGATGATACATACAAATATTGATGAGCGTAGGTGGGTACAGATCGAAAATGAGTGTGATATCTTTATTCCAGATCAAGGGAGAAAAGATATTAGACTATAGTAAATTTTGGTCTAGGTATGTAAGGCACATTGCTTTATATGCATTTGGGTACTCTTAAATGTCTACTGATGACATGTAAAAAAAACCAATGTATGTGTCTCATTCCAAGAGAAAGTTAACCGTCTCAACTGAATGGAACACAACAAAAATGACTCCTACACGACTGATGTTTATGTTAGGAAAAACTAACTTTTACTTATTCATCCCTTATATAAAAATTCCTAAGATGTAATGCAGAAACGGATCAAATATTCAAACATTCATTCTAGATCAATCTAACTTTGTCAGCAAGTTTAGGTACTTCAGCAACCAACCTATCAAAAATTAGTTCAGTCTGGATTTTCAAGAGAACATGTGATTTGAACTCAAATCTCATCAGTAAGTTTACTTCTCTCCTTGAAATAATGTAACGTGTCTTCAAACTCACAACCCTACAGAAAATTAATAATTACTATGCTATTTATTAAATAACCATAATATTTATTGTCATTAAAATTAACACAAATAATATAGATATACATAACACAAGTTTCAGAAAATGAATTACACATTACCATCTTTTTCCATCACAAAAATTACATGAATTATTAAACGAAGCCTTAAAGAGATACTGTCACCATCGTTGATAAGAACATTTTTTTGCATTTTAGAAGAAATCGATTGGTTTGGAACTAGCAATTTATTTTGCTGAAACTTTCCATTCTAATTTCTGAACAATTTCGATAATTTACTTTAGCGGTGTAAGCACAACTTCTCCACAATCGAATGTCACGCTACTAGGCAAACCCAAAGTCTCCGGAAAATGGCTTAAAATATGGCAAGAGTGGAAAGAGTGGATGGAAACATTCCACATCACTAAAACGCACGGAAATGACATATAATGATGTAACAGCTGAAACGTTAAATGTGACAAGACATGAACGTCTTGTAGTTTGGTTTAGAGGATTATTTAAAACAGCAACATCCTTTACCACTGCATAATCTGATTTGATGGGAAATAGATTTTCAGTTACTAACATATCTAGCCGTAATCATTTCGACAACTGATGTCCATACTTGTCAAGCTAGTTTAACATGTTGGCAAGATATTTATAAATGGAAATTGAATCTATTTTACAATGATGACTAAGAATATTTAGGTCTCTGTAGGACAGTTATATTCTGGTAGATCTTTGCTCTCAAATCAAAATTGTTGATAAACAATGAAAATTTATCATTATATTATGAGCTTATTTGGATATGTCAAACGTCATGATTCGTTTGCAGTAAACATACGATTACGTTTCTCACTAAATATTTTGTGTACTATACAAATGGAGATAACCTTTTACTTGATTGGCAGGTTACGACGTGGGCGGATATAATCGTAGGTGTATCTTGCAATAAGATCGTTAGCAAATATTGTGCATGTTTAAAGTCTCTTTATACATTGTTGAGAAACAAGTTTTACTTTTTGGGTCAATTAATATGCATGAAACACACACACGCACGCACACACGCACGCACGCACGCACACACACACACACACACACACACACACATACATACATACATACATACATACATACATACATACATACATACATACATACATACATACATACATACATACATACATACATACATACATACATACATACATACATACACACATACATAGGTAAGGGAAGTGAAACATTTTGATATTTTTGTCGTTTATGAAGTTTAAACAAGTATTTTCACAGTTTCACACGATGAATGTGAGCATCGAATCCTTTTCGGTCATTTACATTTAATCAGATTGAATAGGCATGGTAAACAGCGCGACTTGTAAACTAAGGTAATGCAAGTATTGCAAATTGGATCAATAATGACAGTACCTACAGGAAGTATGCATTTTATACGGCTATGTATACCTAATTTGCATTGTATGATTGACCATTGTCCATAATTAAAGGTACAATTTGGGCATGAAAATGTCTTTTTATCAGCATAATATTACATAGCTAATTTTTATCTGTCATTGTAGATTATATATTAATATTATTATTATTATTTGTAAATGAACATGTTAACTTGGTATTGAGTTCGAGATACAATCTCGATTCTAACCTAGGGAAATGCCACAAAACGAATTTTTACAGTTTTCTTTAAATTTCCATTAAAATGAGCCTCGTTATTGTCCTTTAATTGTGTGTTAGGTTTCATATAATGGTTATTTTTATATTAGAATTAATCACTCCTGGTTTAACATCTGAAGTGAAATCATTCTTTTAGATGTTTTCATTTTAATTTGAAAGGATTTATTATTTAAAATAGTAGTTGGATTTATAAAGCGTATTTGACTTCAGCAATTCATCACTAGTTTGTGATTATTGTGAGTTCATTTCGAGATAATCTTGATTATAGAATCGCGATATCTAAGGATTGTTAGCACATTAACAGTTCCATGTTATTATTACATAACACTTTAAAGATTGGAATTCATTGATAACACCAATGGAATTATTCGGAATGCACTATACCTTTGCGATTAGTTGGGATTTAATTCACAATACTGTAAGTTCTTTTTAAATTTTCCCGTTGTATTCTAGGTAAATAGATTATTGTTGAATTTTATAAAACTTGTTTTTTCTCTTTTCTGTTAGATAGTTTAAGACCATATAAAAATTCATTGAAATAAAATGGCATTAATGCATTTTCTATCAGTTTTTTTGTGTTACAAGCACTACTATATATAATTGCTGGCATTATTTTTCGTCGCTATCAATGATTAGGTGCGAGTTGTAAGAAAGAAATGATTTGAACATAAATTCGTAATACAGTATTAGAATGGGTAAACTCTACATTGGAAGAAATTTAGTAACTACTTTACTTGGATTATATAGTTCA